CCAGTTTGATCATTAACTCCTTATACATCTTAGCCTTTGCTTGTACTCCCCACGATGATGTGGAATGTATAATAGGTATTCAATAAATATTTGTCAGAGACAGCTAGATGGCTCGGTGGATAGAGCACTAGGCCTGGAGTCAGGAAGCCCCGAATTCAAATCTAGCCTAACATACTAACTAGCTGAGTGACCTTGAGCAAGTCACTTAACCTCTGTTTGCCTTAATCCACTGGAGAAAGAAATTACAAACTACTCTAGTACCTTTGCTAAGAAAACCCCATGGACAGTATGATCCAAAGGGTCATGAAGAGTTGGACATGACTGAACAACAACTAATATTTATTAATCAAGTCTTAAAGGAAGGGTTTCACCACAATTTTAATGGCTAAAATTATAATTTCTATTTCCTTTTTCCCTGTGCTAAATTATTAGCCTTACTCCAGAGCTTTAGTCATAATATTCTTTTTTTAGGAGTATAATATTACATGTTTATTCAATTTATATAGGATATTAAAAATAGAAATTAAAAATAGAAATGATCCTTAAGGTGAGTATTGTGTCTCTTTTTTAAAATTTTTTAAAATTTTTAAATTTTTTAAATTTTTTTTATTTTTATTTTTATTTTCATTGTTAACATGTGTTTTTAAAACTTTGGGTTACAAATTTTCTCCCTTCCTCCCTCCCCACCCACCCTCATTGAAAAGGCAAGCATCTCCATACAGGTTACAGATGTGTAGTCACGCAAAACACTTCCATAGTAGTCCTGTTGTGAAAAACTAAGTATATTTCCCTTCATCCTATCCTAGCCCCCATTTATTCTATTCTCTCTTTTGACCCTGTCCTTCCTCAGAAGTGTTTGCTTTTGATTATCCCCTCCCCCAATGTGCCCTCCCCTCAATCAACCCCCTGCTTTCTTGTCCCCTTCCTCCCTTATTTTCCTGTAGGATAAGATAGATTTCTATACCCCATTGTGTATGTTATTCCCTCCTTATGCCAAATCCTATGAGAATAAGATTCACTCATTCCCTCTCACCTTTCCCTGTTTCCCCTCCAGTGTAAAAGCCTTTTCTTGTCTGTTTCATGTGAGTTAATTTACCCCACTCTACTTCTCCCTTTCTCCTTCTCCTGGTATAATCCTCTCTCACCTCTTAATTTTATTTTCCAGATATCACCCCTTCATCTTCAACTCACCCTGTGCCCTCTATCTATCTATCTATACATACATATAATTTTTTTCCCTTCCACTACCCTAATACTGACAAAGGACTCATGAGTTACAAATATCACCTTTCCCTGCAGGAATGTAAACAGTTCAACCTTAATAAGTCTCTTATGATTTCTCTTTCCTGTTTACCTCTTCCATGTTTCACTTGAGTCTTGTATTTGAAGGTCAAATTTTCTATTCAGCTCTGGCCTTTTCCTCAGGAATGCTTGAAAGTCCCCTATTTCATTCATTTCATTGAATGACCATTTTTTACCTTGAAGGATTATACTCAGTTTTGCTGGGTAGGTGATTTGTGATTGTAGTCCTATCTCCTTTGCCCTCTGGAATATCATACTCCATGCCCTCCTGACCCTTAATGTAGAAACTGCTAAATCTTGTGTTATCCTGATTGTGTTTCCACAATACTTGAATTGTTTCCTTCTGGCTGCTTGCAATATTTTTTCCTTTACCTGGGGATTCTGGAATTTGGCTACAATATTCCTAGGAGTTTTCCTTTGGGGATCTCTTTCAGGAGGTGATAGGTGGATTCTTTCAATTTCTGGGTTTTTTTTGCCCTCTGGTTCTAAAATAGCAGGGCAGTTTTCCTTGATAATTTCTTGAAAGATGGTGTCTAGGCTTTTTTCTTGATCATGGCTTTCAGATAGTCCAATAATTTTTTAGTTCTCTCTCCTCGATCTATTTTCTAGGTCAGTTGTTTTTCCAATGAGATATTTCACATTCTCTTCTATTTTTTCATTCTTTTGGATTAGTATTACAGTGCCTTGATTTCTCATAAAGTCACTAGCTTCCAATTGCTCCATTCTCATTTTTAAGAAAGTATTTTCTTCAGTAAGCTTTTGGACTTCCTTTCCCATTTGGTCAATTTTGCTTTTTAGGGCATTCTTCTCCTCATTTGGCTTTTTGGACTTCTTTTGCCATTTGGGTTAGGCTATTTTTTAAAGTGTTATTTTCTTCAGTATTTTTTTGGGTCTCCTTTAGCATCACTCTCAGTTTTTCCTCTACTTCTCTTACTTGCTTCTCAAAATCCTTTTTGAGCTCTTCCATGGCCTGGGACCAATTCCTATTTTTCTTGGAGGCTTTGGATGTAGGAGTTTTGGCTTCACTGTCTCCTTCTAGTTGTATGTTTTGATCTTCTTTGTCACCAAAGTAAGATAATATAGTCTGACTCTTTTTGCACTGCTTGCTCATGATCCCGGCCAATTACTTGAGTTACAAACTCTTTGTTAAGGTAAGGGTCTGTTTTCCAGTGTGGAGAATGTACTGTCCCAAGCTTCAGGGATTTTGTGTAGCTGTTTTCAGAGATATTTCTAGGGACCTGTAAATTTTCAGTTCTTCCAAGGTGCTATGATCAAGAGCGAGGTGTTAACTCCTTTCTTGGTCTGTGCTCTGCTCTATGAGTGACCACAAGCACTCTTTTCTGTCTTGGAACTGTGAGGAGGGTTTCCTTTCCACAGCCATGACAAGCTCCACCTCGCCAGCGCTCCTCCTTAACCCAGGACCGCCACCCAGAACTGTGATCCAGATCCAAGCACGGACAAAGCAAGAGAATCCTGCACCAGCAGAGGGATCCCTACAATCTCCCTCTGATCAGCCACTCGATTCCCCCTCAGTCTGTGGGCCGGAAGCTCAGAAGGCAGCTGCTGCCCCTGGGAATGGGACCCTGTGCTCCTCTCTCACTGCAGAAACAGACTTTTCCCACTGACCTTCTAAGTTGTCTTTGGTGTTTGTGGGTTGAGAAGTCTGGAAACTGCCATAGCTGCCTGCGATTCAGTCCTGTGAGGCCTGCTCCAGGTTCGCTGCGGCCTCCAAGCCCATGCCAAACTGCGTTCCTCTCCCAGCCTGGTGCAACATACCTTTCTGATCAACCATCCAGGTTGTCTTGGGTTGGAAATTTGTTTCACTTTGTCTTTTTGTGGGTTCTGCTGCTTTAGAATTTGTTTAGAGCCATTTTTATAGGTATTTGGAGGGGTTTGGGGGAGAGCTCAAGCAAGTCACTGCTTTTACTCCACCATCTTGGCTCTGCCCCCCAAGTATAGTCATAATATTCTTTCAAATGCTCTGAAAACTATCCTCTGCTTTTGCTTCCAAAGGTCATTCTTTTTTTTTCCAGACAGTAATTATTTATTTGCTAAATTATTATGAACTTAACTTTGAACATGAGTAAAACCAAATAAACAAAAGTATTTACATTTTTCTTTTTTTCTAATTTTTAAAAACATTTTTATTTAAAGTTTTGAGTTCCAAATTCCAACCCTCCTTCCCTCCCTTCCTCCCCTTCCCTTCCTCTGAGACAGTAAGCAATCAGATATAGGTTATAAATGTGCAATTATATGAAACATTTCCATATTAGTTCAAAGGTCATTCTTTCATTTAACAAACATATATTAAGTACCTACTTTGTGCGCAACATAGCCCACACCTTACTGTTTTCGAGAAGCTTACAATCAAATGGGAGTATTTGTTTCAGCCTCAACAGGCTTTTATGAAGTGCCTACCATGAACTTAGCATAGTGTTGGTATTGGATATACAAAGATTAAAAAAAATCAAAGGGAAACAACAGGTATACCATAAGTCAAGGCGATAAATAGTTTTTGGTGGGGAGGTGACCACTAATAACTAGAAGAATCAGAAAAGGATTCTTTGGAAGATTTTTTTGAGTTGATCCTTGAGGGGAGCTCAGGATTCCAAGAAGCAGGAGAAGGGAGAGTGGTCCTGTATGGGAGATGACCATTACAAAGGCACCATATGCCACATTTGGGGAACAGCAACACTAGTTTGACTAGGAGCCAATAAGTTCACTCAGGATCAGGATCATCTATAAATGAGGTTGGTTTCTGAAATTCCTTACAGCTCTGGAGTTAGAAATCCTGATTCAGGGCTCGGAAGTTTGTCAAAGATATTGTCCTTTTATATTTGCATGGTCATTGTGTCAACTGTTTTCCTAATTCCGCTCATTTCACTGTACATTACATCAGTTTCATACAAGTCTTCCCGAGTTTCTCAGAATTTTTCATGCTATCATTTGTTCCTGTTAACAGAAATGCCTCTCTTGTGAGTCAGACTTACAGTGAAGCTTGAAATGATCAATCAAACCTTTGAAAATGCTCACAATCACTAGCATACTTGTGTCTGTATTCCTTGAGTGAAGGTAATCAAAGACTGTAGAACTTGTTCTCCTCACAGAACTCTGGTCTGGACTCCAAAATTGTATTGCCTTCCATTTGTGGGCTGGTCCTGGGAACTACTCTGGCCCTAGGGAATGATTGTAATCCACTTTTCCCATTCCCTTCCTACTTGTGATTTATGTATAAAATCTCTTGTCTTCACTTCAGCCAGGTGGAATTCTGATCAGAATTATCAATCTGCAAATCTATTCCTCATAATGAAACTAATTAATTAAAAGGCTACTTGATTACTGGCACTTTGTCTCTGGCCTGCGGTTTCATCATTCTCAAGTTAGAGACCGACTCAGTAAAATCCTGTTAACATTAAATTGAAAGAATATTCCATTATAGTCATATGGCACTATTTAATCAGCTATTTTCCATATGATGGGCACAATTACAGTTCTTCACATAAACCATAGTCAATGTCCTCGGATTCAGCCTAGCTCGGAGCATTTTTAATCAAACTGGATCACAACCAGCATGCAGACACTTAAATTAATAAAAACAAGGACAGGCATCTGGGAAGGTATATTTTTTTAGGGAGGACAGAAGTGTTGGGAAAATTGTTCCATAAAAAAAAAAAATTTAGAAAAACTAAACAACTTACATTTTCTAGGAGGCAAACTGCGGCAGGGTTCCCCCGGAACGCTTCGCTAGTGAAAGCATCTACTACAAACATAGGGAGCTTCATCTTCCCCTGCACACTGTTTCTCGGTAACTCTCAAAACTGCGGAGTGAGGAGTATCAAGTCGTTGTTTATATAATCAAAATGTTAATGATTCACTTGTTGCATAAGAGGACCTTTGGCCCATAGACTGCAGGATAACATTTACGTAATTTAGCTTTCCTGAAGTTATCTTTTTAATTTCTAAAGCAGGCTGGCTTAATTACATGACAGTCTTCCTCCAAATACCCACAGTCTGACGTCTGAGCTACCTTTAATGAAGCGGGAAGAAAATTCAGGAGACAGCAGAGACTGTTTTGGGGCGGGCGGGCATGGCATCAGAGCCCAGGGACTTGGTGGGTAGGTCTCCTTGACCCTTGGCCATTTTGGGGAGGACGCTGCTCCCCGTGCGCTCAGCAGAGGACAGGGGGCTTTGCTCCGACTTTCTGCTGACCATGGCTTTGCCATAGAAGGTCGCTCCTCCATAGATCCCCCATTTCTTGCCTGCGGCTTTTGTCATGCCACGCTCCTGGGAGGGTTGCTTTGCACAACTGAACTGAGACCAATGCGATGGATTTCCATAACAAGTCTTAAACAACGAATGGATGAACGAAGCATGTATTAAGCGCTCACTGTGTGCAAAGGGCTGCGCTTTGTAAGTGCAACATAATGAGCCAGTACAAACGTTCTGAGAGGCTTCTCTGATTTGTCTCTCCGTGGACAACAGGCAGACAGGCTGGGACAAGTCTTCCCTTGCCTGTACCCCGGCCCGCTCCCTTTCGCGTGTTGCTTTGGTGGAAGGAGAAGAAGGGGAACCCATGGCAACGAAGGACTCCATGTGCCCAGAAGTAGAGAAAACCACATTTCCCATGAACCAATGGGTTATGAAACCCTAGCGGTAGATTGGAGAAGAGCGGGACCTTGATTTCCCAGAGGGCGCTGCTGTCGGAAGCTGGTCTCTGATTGGTGGATAGAGCTAGGGGGAGGCTCTGATTGGTGAGGAGAGTGTCGAAGGCGGGGCTTGTGGTGAGACGTGGAGGAAGTGATTTCCCGGCACGCCGCCACTCTTAAGCCAGTTGTGCCGGGACTGCCGGCTCCGGTGCCGTCCCAGAGCGAGTGCAGCTTAGCCCCCGGGGCCATGAGGCGCCTCGGCCCCTGCCTGCCTCGGGCTGCGCTGCTGTCGCGCGGCCGGCCGCCTCCCTGGAGCTCCCCGCGGGCCTGGCTGGGCGCCGCGTGCCCGGAGAAGGCGGCGGTGGCGGGACCTGCGCCGGAGGACTGGGGTCCGGAGCCGGGCTCGTGGCCCGAGCGGCTCGCGGATTTGGTGACGCCGCTGTGGCGGCTGGACTACGAGCAGCAGCTCCGGGTGAAGGCGGAGGCGCTGCGCGGCATCCTGGAGCGCCTCGAGGCTCGCCTGCGCGCGCTCGGGAGCCCGGGCGCCGAGGCCGGGGCCCTGTGCTCCCGCCTGCAGCCCTTCCGGCCGTCCCCGGTCATCGACGGCTACCGAAACAAGTGCAACTTCGCCATCCGCCAGGGCCCCGACGGCCGGCCCCGCACCGTGGGCTACGTGCTGGGCTCCCGCCGGGAGCAGCAGCTGGTGTGCGTGCAGCCCGGGCACCTGAAGCACATCCCCGAGCAGCACCAGCGCGTTGCCCGCTGCTACCAGGCCTTCCTGCATCAGAGCCCGCTCGAGCCCTACGTGGAGCCGCACGGCCGCGGCCACTGGCACGAGCTCACGGTCCGCAGCACGCGCCGCGGCCACACGATGGCCATCATCGCCTTCCACCCGCAGCAGCTGCGGCCCGGGGAGCTCTGGCCTCACAAGGAGCACGTCAAGGAGTTTTTCACCCAGGGGCCCGGGGCCGATTGTGACTTGACCTCTCTTTACTTACAGGAAAACGTCCAGTGCGACCAGCAGCAGCCCTGCTACCAGCTCCTGGCTGGGGAGCCTCACATTTTTGAAGACCTCCCGGGCCTGAAATTCCGCATCTCTCCAGGTGCCTTTTTCCAGATTAACGCAGCTGCTGTTGAGATTCTCTACAGGGTGGTGGGAGAGTTGAGCGGGGTGGACCCCAATACTCTTCTCCTTGACCTTAGCCAAGGAACTGGGGCCACCAGCCTCTCCCTGGCTCAGCGCACAGCCCAAGTCCTGAGCACCGGGCTGGTGGGGCAGGCGGTAGAGGACGCCAGATGGACTGCAGCTTTCAATGGAATCACCAATTGGGAATTCCATGCTGACCAGGTGGAGAATATAGTGCCACAGCTTTTAAAGTCGCAGGAGACTGGTCAGTCGCTAGTGGCTATGGTGGACCCATCCCGGACCGGACTGAACAGCCAGGTGGTCCAGGCTATTCGGAATTGCCGAGCCATCAGGACGCTGGTTTTTGTTTCTTGCTACCCTAGTGGGAAGGCCAAAAGAAATTTCCTTGAGTTGTGCTGTCCCCCAAACCCTGGCAAGGATCTCCTGGGCGAGCCTTTTGTCCTGAGACAAGCTGTGCCTGTGGACATGTTTCCACACACAGTGCACTATGAATTGGTGCTTCTCTTCACTAGGTGACTGAGTGACCTCCTGGAGCTCCCCTGATGTCAGCACTCTGCAGGCTCTTAATGTTAAGGGCTGAGTGTTAAATTGTACCTGGTGTGGCAGGCCCTGGACTGACCATGCTTTCGAGAAGCTAGACATGGATCAACTTCTGGTCCAGCCACAGTTGGATCAACCACAGGAAGGGGCTTCCTGGCTGAATTTCCACGTTCTAGGTTGCATAAGTCAATACACTGCTTTGTTCAAAGCAGGCCTTTGATATGTGTTGGTTGAATGAGACGAGAGAAAAGTTTGAGGTGGGGGAGAAAGACTGCAGTGGTAGATTCTGGGAACCAAAGAGTGGTGGCAGCAAGAGTCTGGGGCTGTTGGGCAAACTACTGTTGATCCCAAGTCAAATTGAGCCAGGGAAGGAGACAGCTTAGCAGTGATAGAGCTGTAGCCTCTGGTAGGACCCTGCCTGAGCTAAGGTGCTGGAGCTGCCTTCACTGAAGTTTCCATTCCCCTACTCTTGGCTATAGAAAAATAATAGCCTAATCTTACTAGGTTGTTTTTTTTGTTCAGTTGTTTCCAACTCTGCCCCATTGGGGGTTTTCTTGTCAGAGATACTGGAGTGGTTTGCCATTTCCTTCTCCAGCTCATTTTATAGACGAGGAACTGAGGCAAACAGGGTAAAGTGACTTGCCCAGGGTCATCCAGCCAGGAAGTGCCTGAGGCCAGATTTGAACTCAGAAAGATGAGTCTAAATGACTTCACACTCCTCAACTACTATACCACCTAGCTGCCCCTTACTAAGTAGAGCTGAATTCAAGCCATGGAGATGTTCAATACTAAGCTTCACTGAGAGACGGAAAGGAAATGAGGCATTACCCAGAAAGAACATCAGCTGCGATTGAGTTCTGTTACTTTATTGTTTATCCTTGTCCTCAATAAAAATTCTGTTGTTTCCACAGTGTTCCTTATCCTCATCCAACAAGCACTGAGTATCTGCCATATACTGAGCACCACCCAGGTTTTGGGGATACAGAACGGTCCAAAGGAGCTTATGTTCTACTGGGGCACAACCATGTGAACACATTAGGAAATGCAAGATGCGTACAAAGTAATTTATGGGGGGAAAGGACTCTAGCATCCCCCCTCTTCTAGGAGGATGATGACAGGTTTCATGGAGGAGGTGGTACTTGAACCCAGCTTTGAAGGAAGCTTGGCCTTCAAGGGGGACAGCCTTTGCAGAGGCATGGAGATTGAAGATGGGGAACATGAGCCAGTTTGGCTGGATCATAGAACATGTGAAAGAGAATCACATGTAATAATCCTAGAAAGGTCATCTAGAGCCAGCTGAGAAGGGCTTGGAAGGCCAAACAGAACTTTGTTTTATCCTAGAATGAACTTTTGAAAAAGCATTCTTTTTTAAAGCACATACAACATGCCAAGAATTGTGCTGTCGATGATAGGGCCCCAGGGGGGACTTCTTGGCATGGTCAGCTCTGAGTAGACTTTTCACACATGGAAGACTGAAGTGGAAAGATACTTGAGGTGGGGTGACCAATAAGGAAGTTATTGTTGTAGTCCAAGTGAGGAAACAGGGATCTGAATGATTAGAGGACAATGAAACAAGATTATAGTTTTAGATTTCTTTTTCTATTCTTTAGTACTCTACTTAAGAGGACCAAATACTATACTAGAGTGAGTGAAGGCCATTGATGCTTGGTGGCTTGTACAAAAATGTTTGAGGAAAGATAACACATATATATAAGAAATGTTAAATACTCTTTTTCTATGGGAATATATATATTTTACTATGGAAATGTTAAAAGTTAGTTTTAAGAATTTGAACTTTTCATATAATTTCCATATTAACCATCCTCTGTCCACTAGATTTTAAATTATGCTTTCCTTCCTGTTGCAAGTCATTTGATCACTTTAATAAGCTCATTTGCAAGGTCCAGAAGTCACTATTCTAAAGATCCTGCCATAGGCACCTCAGTAATTCAGCAATAGGGAGCTTAACCCTAGATGTGGTCATTTTTAAAAGGTTATTTGTGCAGCAAAGACTATTAAATGCAGTATCTTATTAGTGCTTCAAAAATGCACAGGCTCTGTTTTTATTTATTTGAGAGGAAACCTCCATAAAATGGAACTTTAAAATTGTATTTGATGTAGAAAGATTTCAGTAAAATTCTAACTCCATAAATTTTCATGGACTTTTTTCGTTAAAGGCACAATAACATTTTACTGTAATTTTTATTGCTGACTTAGAACTAAGGAAAGGAAAGAAGCATAGTTTTTGCTCTTTCATAATTAATATTTTAGTTCTGCACAGGATATTGTCAGATTATGTTTTAATGTAGGATTAGAAAAATTACTTTAACTGCCTTTTTTCTTCAATGCTTATCTCAGGTTATAGTAACATTACTGAATTTTCATTCTAACATTTCTCCCCTGCAAATTAAAAATTTTTTTTCTGATCACATAGTTGGAAATTTAATTTACCCTGAAAATGTCCGAACAGATGATT